CTTGAGCCCAGGAGTTGGAGGTTGCTATGAGCAGTGAAGCCATAGCACTCTACCCAGGGGGACAGCTTGAGGCTCTGTCTCAAAAACAATAAAAAAATGAGAAGATTGTCATCATTTTACATTTCTGCAAATCTCATTAATGTCAGGTAAATAGACTACTAGATTACCATATATGTTACTGGCTCGGCACCTGTAGCTCAAGTGGCTAAGGCGCCAGCCATGTACACCAGAGCTGCCTGGTTTGAATCCAGCCTGGGCCTGCCAAACCACAATGACAGCTACAACCAAAAAATAGCCAAGCATTGTGGTGGGCACCTGTAGTCCCAGCTACTTGGGAGGCTGAGGCAAGAGAATCACTTAAGTCCAGGAGTTGGAGGTTGCTGTGAGCTGTGATGCCATAACACTCTACCCAGGGCAATAGCTTGAGGTTCTGTCTCAAAACAACAACAACAACAAAAAATATATATATATGCTGCACTGAACCTGTTGTCAATTATTTTTTCATTGAATTATATGAATAAAAAATCCAATTTAACTGGATTTGTAAACCAATTTACATAGGTTTGTAGTTGAGAAAGGTAGGAATATATTAATAGCCCTCTCATATCATTGTAGATATTCTTTTTTTTTTCCTGAGACAGAGTGTCACTCAGTCACCCTGGTAGAGTGCCATGGTACCATCATAGCTCACAGCAACCTCAAATTCTGGAGTTCAAGTGATCCTCTTGCCTCAGCCTCCCAAGAAGCTGGGACTGCAGCATTGCCAGTGCCTGGTTAATTTTTCTTTTCTTGAGACAGAATCTCACTCTGTCACCCTCTGTGAAGCACTGTGCCCTCATTGCTCACAGCAACTTGAAACTCTTGGGCTGAAGGTATCTATCTTCTTGCCTCAGCTTCCCAAGAAGCTGGACTATGGGGATCCACCACAACATCCAACTATTTTTTGTTTGTTTTGAGACAGAGTTTCACTGTATTGCTCTCAGTAGAGTGCTATGGCATCACAACTCACAGCAACCTCCAACTCTTGGGCTTAAGCAATTCTCTTGCCTCAGCCTCCCAAATAGCTAGGATTACAGGGGAACGACTCAGCCCTTTTTACAGACAGGGTCTTTCCCTTGCTCAGGCTAGTTTTGAACTCCTGAGCCCTAGTGATCCACCAGCCTTGGTCTCCCAGAGTGCTAGGATTATAGGCAAGAGCCACCGTGCCTGGCCCAATTTTTAGTACAGCTGGAGTCTAGCTCTTGCCCAGGCTGGTCTCAAACTCCTGAACTCAAGGGATTCACTCCTCCCTTGGCCTCTCCAGAATGCTAGGATTACATGCATGAGCCATCACACTTGGCCATTGTGGATATTCTTTTTTGACCCTACAACAAAACTTGACAAATGGTAGCTTTGGATTTTTTTAACTGGTAGTTTTTTATTTTTCTTAACTGGTAGTTTACTTAATAGTTGCGATGTGGAATCTGAAATTATATCAATGAATCAGTGAATTTTTTAAACTCTGTTACATTATACAGATTAATTGCTCTATCTTGTTCTTTGAATGAATATTTTACCTAGGATGATTTTGTAATACAATGTGTTTCATTGATTATTTGGAAAACATTAGTTCCTCTGGCTTATGCAAGTCCTCCAAATATTGACACATTTCATTACACAATATCAAAAAATATCTGTTAATATCACTACTAATATTATCAGAAAAGTGTTTAAGTATTTGGAAGCTGTCAAACTCATAATATTGGACAGAAGTTTTCCAAAATTCATATTTTTCACTTGAAAGCCCAAAATTCGTCATTTACAACAAATACTGTCACTTTTTTCCTTGAATTGATGTGTTCACTTTATTCATTTTTTAGAAAATGTCTGTCAGACTCCCAAGTCTGAATAACAACCGTAATTTGTCAGCTGGTCATTCAAGTAAAATATCATTCCTTGAGAAAAAGCAGTTCAGTTTGCAGCTTAAATGTCACACAAGTGAGTTTCCTCAGGATAACCATTGTATTTTGGTATGCAGCAGAAGTGCTTTATGCATACTTCCTGCTTTATCACACAACACTTAAAAAGAGATGTAGTCAGGGTTGAGAGTTTATACATTTATTAATTGTTTACTGCTTCCTCAAGGATGTTAAAATGTGAAGATTACTATTACTATTCTTTACTACTAATCTGGTAGTGAAGATTACTATGACTGCTAGTATAGCAGATATGTGCTAAGGCACTAACAGTTTTGCCCACCATTGCTTTCGCAGTAATGGCTATAAAGGTCAACACAGTGGAAAAAGGTAAATACTATTCTAGTATTATTATGAAAATAGTTTCACACTTGGAAGCCCCTTGAAAGGGTTTTGAGGACCTGTAAGGGTCCCCAAACCATGCTTTAAATACAACTAGTCTAACAAAATGATTAACTTTAACAATGGAAATTTAGGCCATGATGGGTTAACCGAGAGAACATTTTGGTCAGCCAGTGTTCTGACCATACCACCTAGGTAATCATTTCTTTGCCATGAGCACTGTGTCAGCACACATAATTGTTATATCATGTTTCTTTAGCTCCGTGGTAGTATCATTTTTGCCCTAATACAGTCCACTCTCTCCAGAGGTTTTCTTTTTATCTTAACTTTTCTCTTTTGTGTTTATCTTCTAGAGGAGAAGAGATAGAAAATAAGGAAGTCATCATCCGGGAACTGGAGGTAAAGAAAGAAGCAACAACTTCTGGGAAAGATATTCTTTAAACCAAGGATGCATCCACATCTAGATTTTAAATTATTTCCTACAAACTGATCACAACCTCCACTTGATAACTTGGCCTCTCCCTACCATGTTTCTTCTTCAGAGAAACTTCACTGTTTTTCCAGGGAAATTTAAAGCCTGTATCCTTTCTCGATTCTCTTAGTTGATGTGTCAGCACCTTTGAGGCTGAGAGTTATTTAGTTCCCAGCTTTCAGCAGCTCTCTTTTGTGGCAGCTGGCATAGAGAAAGCTTCCAGAAAATTGCTGCCCATCCAGGGCTCTGGGAAACCTCACCGTCCCAACCACTGCCTGGTACTTGACGTTCAGGAAACTCAAGTGTAAATATACAGACAAGGCTTCTGTGTCTTCATTTTAATTGGAAACATTTGCAACTGCTTTATTCCCACTTCATTTTCGTTCCTTTCTACCCAGCTCTTCTAGCTTTAGGTTCTTCTGCAGAAGACGACTAAACAGGTGCACAGCTTTGCAAACAGGTGAAATCATTGGACAAGGAGTTAAGAGTTCTGGGACCTGGCCCTGGATTCCAGTCCTGGCTTAACTACTAATTAACTTAACTACTTAACTACTATGTCACCCTTGACAAATCATATTATCAGTCTGGATATATGATTATCATATATCTATTATCATATTTCCTTACCTGTCAAATGAGATTAATAAGTAATGCCTGTTTTCAAGATTGAGGTGAAGATTAGAAGTAAATTAATTGCTTCATTTATAAAATGAATGGTTTAGGGCGGCGCCTGTGGCTCAAAGGAGTAGGGCACCGGCCCCATATACCAGAGATGGTGGGTTCAAACCGAGCCACAGCCAAAACTGCAAAAAAAAAAAAAGAATGGTTTAAACTCGTTTATCGCCTTCTAACTTCACAACTCAGTGACGATTGTGATTTCTTAAGACTTATGCTTCCATATTTCAAACCAATTAAATATACTTAAGCACAAAACTCCATGAAATGAAAACTTTTGAGTCATAGCCTTAAAGACACCTGTGACTCTCGGGCTAAGTATTTAGCAATACATTAAGATCTTGCGGCTCCGGCGTCTATAGCTCAACCGGCTAAGGCACCAGCCACCTAAGGTGGCGGGTTCGAATCCCCAGCCCGGACCCACCAAACAACAATGACGGCTGCAACCAAAAAATGGCCAGGCGTTGTGGCTGGCGCCTGTGGTCCCAGCTACCTGGGAGGCGGAGGCAGGAGACTCGCTTGAGCCCAGGAGTCGGAGGTTGCTGTGAGC